TAATTTTTGTGTGCCGCAGATTACCAAAAAGAGTCATTGCATTCAGAAGATTTCCTGATTGTTATTGTTGTTGTTGTTGTTGTTGTTGTTATTATTATTATTTAAATTTGTATACAGCCCAATTCCTAATGACTCTGGTTAATTGTAGCAGCAGGAGAAAGAAGGTCCAGTAAATTCAGAGAGAAGTTATGTTCATAACAGAAAATGTGAACACTCCTGCAATGACAATGCAGGCATATGTATTACCTCTGCATCCCAATCTTCTGTCTGGGAGCTCAGATAACACATTATCTGTGATATTTTCTTTTGGGTATATATTTGGTCCAGACAGATAACTCCCATATCAAACTGCCAACACTCAACAACAAAATGGCTGCTTTTCAGAGGTACATTCTTTAGCATTTTTTGTCTAACATGAAAATAAAAAAGGATATGTTAAACCTCTGTAAGGTTTAGCACTTCTTTTTTGACATGTAATCCTTCCATTCATAATCCAAAACAGACTGAAAGTGTTCAGTGCTGGCAACCAGTGACCTGCATTACTAGCATGACTCTCCTAGCCCTGACACATCAATAATAATAAAAACAACAACAATAGCAGCAGCAGCAGCAGCAGGACTCTTGGTTGAGCAACCAGGGCCAGCAGCTGCAGGAATACAGGAAGAAAAGTTGCTTATCCATCACAAATATACAAAGACTGAAAACAAAGAAATAATGATCTGCTATTACAAATCAAGTCCACTGAGAAGAGGATATCTGAAAAGAATGCACCACTTTTAGAAAGAACAACATCCAGAATCAGAAATAACAGAACAGAGACTAGCAGATCAACATTGATTTACAATACAAAATAAAGTATTCACAGAAGTAGAATTGGAAGGACTGCAGAGATCTACCCAGGGCAAAGAGGTTGAAGCCTTGCCAGAAGTGGCTCAGACTGTAGAGGCAAACCAGAGAGAGTGGGCAGTAGAGGAAACCAGCATAGCTATTGAGCTGTTTCATTCCCAAACCAGGCACCCTTTCCTCTGCCTTTCCCTCAGAAAGAACAAAGCCTTCTAACTAAAAAAACAAAAGGAATTGAAGCAAAGAATAATTGAGCATCTAGAACAGCACAAAAAGAACAGAATAAGGTTGCCTT